AAACATATGACACATATTTTAAATCTTTGTAATTTTCTTTGTGGAAAATTTATTTTTAAGGGTGGCATTCGACAGTTTTGGCTTAAATGAGCTAATTTATTAATAATGAGCTCATATATACGGAAGCACTTTATGGCTGTGTGCAAGTCAAGTAAATTGAGATAAAGTAAATTGAAATTTCCTACAGATTTTTTGCACTGCACTTATGTTTATATTTATTTATTTATTTATTGCACTTATTATGGTTAAAAGTTTTCAAATTTATTTATTTTATAAACATCTTTTAAAATTTTCACAACGGTAATACATAATTTTTATCTATTTTATCCACCCGAAATTCTGGTAAATACCAACATTTGCTGCCATACCGACAATATTACCTATTTTCCTCAACTCTAACTCGCACACGGTCTATACAGTAAATCATCCTCATTAGTCGCTATAATAAGCAAAACTGCCTAAATGAGACAGTGTAAACGTACTATAAGATTAAAAATTGTTCTCTTGTGAATGATTTTTGGAAGTACGTACTAAATGTCCAGTTAACTGTGAACATATGTTTTTGTTAATTATTTCGTAGTTGTTATTTTTCTACTTATTATTTTAATATTAGAAAATTATTTATTTTCAAAATATTAACTTTATATGTGCGTCATTTGTAAATATGCAAATTTGTGTATTTACATATATAAATCTATCAGGTATCAAAACAAAAATTTCCATTTTTTCCAGAGTTGCCATCGAAGGTAGTGTTTATTTTATGTTATTTTTTTGCGACATTCTTTCAAAAGAATATCTGTAATATTAATCACTAGCTACTACTATAACTAGTAAGTAATAGTACTAATATGTTTACATTACGAACTTTAGTGAAGGAACTTTGCTGAAGTTAGTTTGCAAACGTCACGCTTTTACATATTTATATAACGGTTTTACTTTATAGTTATTGTGTTTTTGCATGTAAACATGGCTTAAAACAATGAACTATTCTAAATTTAATATTAAAATAAACCTTAGTAATCGATGAATTTAGTATAAATTGAAAAAATTAAAAATGTTAAAAAGAAAAGAAAAATTTTATTATAAATTATTTACCATCGAATCACTTTCAATATTTCATTCTAAATTGTGTTAAATTTGTTTTTTCGAATATAAAATTACTATGGAGTCGGAAAAGCTTACAGTGGTGAAAGAGGATGATAACAAGCCTTCTACTTCCAATAAAAATAAACCTGAGCTTGCAACATCAAACAAACCATGCGAGTCTTGCGAAAAATACAACGAAGCTTCAAAATATATCACAACTGAAATAATCTCTTCTAAAAGTATATTGTCTTCTAAAAGTTCAAAAAAATGTAAGAAAAAGACAGGCGCGGTCAATACTAAAGACAAGCCATGTGAAGCAACTGGTATTATGGTCACAAAGGAGAAATTATTTTCTCAAGCAATGTCTCCCAAAGATTTTAAAGAAAAAGTTAAAAGTATGAAACCCAAAAATCCGTGTAAAGTGCCACCGGAAAAAGAGATTCCTATTGATCCGCGTAGTTTGCCGATACGCCAATATTTAACCGAATACATTGAACCTATTTTTGGCGATGCTTTAATTGCACTGGCTCGAGAACTTCCTCTGGAACCAATAGAATTTTTGTCTTCCTATATACGAACTGCTAAACAAAGAGAAAATGAAAAATTTCCTAACAACTTATCTGGTCCACCTAATCCATGAAGTTATGTATGTTATAGGTACTGAGATGGAACGCTACAACGCAATTGTTTATATAAAATTATACCATGATTGTTTTGTTGAAGATATAAATAAAATTATTAAATATGTATTTTAAATGCTTGTATTCTTGTTAATAAATATGCGTCATCAACAAATTCTTAAAAATATCGAAATTTTCTTTCATTACTTTCAGGTTATAGTTAAATTTGCAAAAAATCTTTGCTCCAAAATGTCTATAATATGTATATAAATATTCTTTATATGCCTATATAGTTTTGCGTTTGTATTTTCCATCAGATTAAATAATACTGTATGGCCTTAGTTTGTCAAGTTGGTTTCTTGGGACCGTGTCATATGATGAATTGGTCATGGTAGTTTTACGTTCTTTCTAGTTATGACCACTTTTACCCGATTTACCGCAATCGGTAAGCAAATTGAATTGGCCGTTCAGATCCATCCTGAAATTTATGACTTAATACCGCTCCCGCACCTACTGGTCTGGGATCTACTGAGCATTGGACCTGTTATCTTGATATCATGTAAAAAACCTTTTACTTCAGGAATATCTGCTAGTAATTGTTTCATGAATAGTTGCTATTTAGCTGGCTATTCCAAATATCGCCGATTGATATAACCCTTTGTGCGTATTTAATATTAATAAATGTCTATCGTTAGGATGTAGCTTCATCTGCAAATACGATTTGGATAAAAACGTTTGATTTTTGTAAATTTCTCTTCGCCGGACATAGAACTAAATAACCCTTCTATTGTAGATAAAGGATGTTTACCGATTTCCAATCCCGGATTTAGTGTAACTTTATAGTGTGACTAATCCACTTTAACCAATTACCCTCACGCACTTAAACCGCAATCTCGTTTTCTAGTGCTTCGAGTAAACAAAATGCCACTTTCCTGGCTTTTATAAATTTTTACGATATATTTGGATATACATATATTCGAGCCTGGTACCCTTTTATTTTGCCTATTTTTTCTAAAAATAGGTTTATCTTTTTAAATAATTTTGTCCAGTCAAGCTTTAGAGTGTATAACCTCTCTCTACCTTACAATGGTTTCTTATGTGAAAGTATTATATAAACTTTGAACCATCTGTCATTCACCGTTACTTCCACGTAATCCAAACATTCAATTGACATTTTGCAATAACTAAACAAGTTTACATCGTTTGGCCACACTTTGGATTTAACAAAATATTTCTTGACATCATTTATATTTCCTATAATAACTAGAAAACCCCTGTCTAGTTTAAATTCGATTTGACTAATGTTCAATTGCAATTGCAATTGCGGCATGGGCTTATACGAAATTATACTTATTTTATTAATGCATTATTAATCTTAATAATATTTACAAAAACAATTATTTCTGCTTTCTTATTAGGCTGCGGCTACTTTGCATGCGAATTTTGTCTTGCGTGTTCGTACATATGTTTTCTCGTGCGAACACATCGCATATTGTGGTCACATTGCTTACGAATTGACAGTTCTGTTTTAAAACCAAAATGCATAGTGAATAATATTATTATTATTAAATATTATTATTAGTAAATATTATTATTATTAAAAATTTAGCGAAAGGCATAAAAATTGAGAGTTTGCCAAAGCAATGTGAACAAAAGTTTTTTGAATACGCTAGGATTTAAAAAATGCAATATTCCATTATATTCTGAATGGTATTCCATCTAAAATTATTAAGTATTTTAACTTTCGAGACTGCTTTTCTCCAATGGATAAAGTAATTGTTAAAATACGATAAGTGTTTACTATACAGTATGTAACAAATTTGTAACAATTTATTTTAATTAAAATAAATAAAAATAATTTAAATAATTTAATTTAATAATAAATTTATATAAAAATAATTAAAATTCTCCTAAAGCCACCAACTAATAAAATTAACAAATCGTAATCCATTTTCAAAAATTGATAAATGTATGTTTTCAAATATGTTTCCTTTTACAAAATTTGAATTTCGAAATTCGAATGAAAACCTCTTAATTTGTACCTTCAATTTCGTACAACCGAATGAATTTCAAGCAAAATATTTTGTTTAATCAAATATTCACATGAGAAAGACAAGACGTCGCGAGAATAGTTCTCAGCAACTTTAACCACTCGCATATGATAACGTACATTTGATTCGTTCGTACGAACAGGCAAGAAAAAAATTCGCATGCAATGCAACGGCGGTTTTATTCATTTTTCACTTTCTGAACGAAATGTTAAATTTTTAAATTAATTTGTAAACAACTATTGATTAATTCTAATAAATCACGGCTAAGTTGAACAAAACGAACTTATTTGGAAAGTTAAAAATTATTGTTGGAATAAAAGATATAACCTTTATAAAAGAAACAAATAAGATAGCCGTAGCATCGAATACACTGCATAAGAATTCTATTTATCACTAAATAAAATTATTAAAACATACCTTGTGATCAAA